CCACAAACAGCTGCTCACCGGGTGCCGGGCGCGACAACAAGTTCCCGTCAAGGTAACTTGCAAACTTGCGAAAGATTGTTCAATGCCCGACACTATACCGAAGCCCCATCCCCCATGGTGCCACCCGGGTGGTTCCAAGGTGCTGAGATGGCTGATGTTTCGTGTGCGGTAGCAGGCTGCAGAAAACAACCCGTGGCACGCGAAAACGGAGTTGTTTTGGGCTGTTTTGCTCGGTTCGGTGAGCAGTCGCACTATAGCGCTGCAACTTGTTCGAACTTACATTTTTACAAGCAAAATGACATAAAACCAAGCTAAAACATACTACCACGCAGCTGTACATGTAAACACAAATGACGAACGGTTCGTTGAATAGAGTTGTTGCAGGAGCGCGACGACCGTTCGTGACAGTCCAGCGAGGGAGGGCGATGACGGATCGGGATCATCGAGGGAGAGCAGCCCTGGATCTCCACGTTCTCTCTCTTCTTCCTACTCTCTCAGCTAATACTGCTTGGTAGCAGGTGGCGACGATTGGTTAACGGGGCGGAAACAGCCCCAATCCACAGTACCGCTTGGTACGAGCTACCAAGCAGTATCATTCAAAATTAAAATCCTTGTGGGAAAGAATAGTCATAGAAATAAAGAGGTTTCGTGTTATGGATATTCTAATTGACCTTAGTTTTGTTATTAATTCTGGCTGAAACATGGATATCTAAATGACTGGAAAGTTCTCACATTAGTTTGGCAAGACTTTGTTCATTTAATTGTTTATAAGATATTTCTCTTTAACACCTTATTTGGGAATATGCTGAATGTAAGTAGGCTAAGTATTGGAAACCAAGAGATTTTTTTAATAAATCAAGAGAATTTCATGTTATGAAGTTTCGTTGAGTGATCCATACACATTTTCTACTTTCTAACAGCTATGTAATGCATATCCTTCATTTGCATATCAAAAACCGACTATTTTATAAGATATGCACTGTTTCTGAAGTGAGTATGATATAAAACGTGGGAACACTTTCTCATGCTTTTTTCACTTTCTGATGCTTCTTTTGAAGGGCTTTTAGATGAATGTTCACTCGTTGGAAGCATAATTCGATCATCTAT